CAGAAGTGACTAAGGCAGGCAGTCTTTATACTTTTTAAACAAGGCAACAATAAATTTGTGAAGAATTGACAAGGTAAGGGGGTTTGGGCTAAGGGTAGGAAATTAGTAAAGAAGTAACGTATGTTCCTTCTATAGCTTCTCAGCCCTAAACTCCTCATCTCTGGTGGTTAGAATGCTTTCTACCCTCCTGGTGAAGGGAGGGTAGCTTTCACATGAGAGATTTATTTTCTGCCTTCAGGGGGACAGAGGAGAATTGGAGTGTCTTCTTGCACTGGCTCTTTGTTAAGTAACTTTAATTAAAAACAATCAATATACCAAAGTGGCACATTTTGGGGTGGCATATTCTGCTTCTCTTCAATAGTAATTATCTCAGGATTGTTGTAAGAATCAAATAAGATCATGCACATATAGCACTTAGTATAGTGCCTGGCATATAATTATTATTAGGCTGTTTTGTGTTATATCCCTAAGCAGATTCATTATATACCATTGAAATACAACTTGGTAGAAGTACTCTGGGTTGACAGCAATTGAAAGGTCTAATTTGGTAAAAACTGAATTCAGAATGCTAAGAGAATGAAGAACAAATCTTTGAGATAATTATTTCTGAATATTGATTTCCCTAATTAACTTTTGATAACCATTGGGAAGCATGGAAGGTAAGGATACATTCTCAGGTAAAAATGTGAGTGCAAATATTGTCTGTTTTCCAATTAGGACAGATTCATATACCCTGACATTCAGCTAAGTAGAAGAGTAGAAGGGTTGGCACTTTTTCTAGCTGAAGAATCCAGTCAGGAGATATGTCTTAATTATAGAAAACCATCCCCAACTCCCCAAGGGATGTGGGCTGAGCTAATATTTTTTTCAGAATTCAATTACTGGTACCTTACTACACAGAGTTTAGTGGACAGCCTCTGGCCTTAATAATTTTAGCCAGAAAAATTTTTACAGCTGGCATTTGCATTCAGTGAGCATTAAGGAATCTCAATAAAGCATTCCTAGAATGTTTAAATTTAGGCAGTTTCGCTGACTGATAGATACTTCAATGTAATCTTGTTAGAAAATACATCCCAAGTAACTGGTATTGTTGTATTATGTAGCATTGTTAGACACAATCCAATTAAATGTTAGATGACACATGCCAATGAGGATGATTCTGGTTTGTCTGAGTTGGTTCTAGGCAATTCTCTTTCACAGTAAGTGGAGGGTAAGATCAATTGTCCATTGAGGCCACTTCTAGCTAAGGTTAATAAAGCCATGCCATCAGCACTGGTTTGTCCTTACAGTGGGGATTATGTATCCAGTTTGTCCAGAAGAAGAGTCAGCCACTAACTTCCACTGAAAAGACAGAGGGCCTAGTGATACATAAAACCTACAAAAAAATCTCCCTATAGGACTTCCTTGAGGAAAATGAGGTAAACTATAAAAAGAACACATGCATAGTAGACAATAAACATTTCTTTCACTCAGAGGGGTTAAGGAGGATGGGTTTATACACATCTATCAATGAAATGAACTGAGATACAACAGGGGTAGTAGCCCAGCACTGAAGAGACGCTGTAGCACATTTACAGACCCATTGAGGGGCCAGACCAACTGCATGTGTCAGAGATTGGAAAAGTAAAACCTTAGGGAAATTCTGGCGGCTGCTGCATTTCAATCCCCCTTTGGGGGATTGAAAATAGCCAAGAGTGCAGGAGTCAGGGCCAGTCCTGACCCAGCTGTGGACACCTTACTGTGGGCTCCAACGTGCTTATGTACAGTGCGAGCACCTGTGATCTCCCTGTGTTGGGCAGAAATATTAGCTCATTGGTGTGGTGACAAGCCTTGCATGGGCTCCAGCCAGATGAGTGGATGAAGACCCATCTCTCAGGTCATCCTGGGCCTGGACGAGAGACTACAGGCTGCCTCAGAAATGGGGCTGGGGCCTGATGGAAATGGGTTTGGAGTCCCAGTCAACAAAGTAGGTGGATGTTTTAAGTCTGTAATTTCCACTCCCCATGCTTTTCACTATTTTCAAGTTTAATGTATTCCAGGAAGCAAGGGTTGTTAAAAAAAAACCCAAATGACTCCAGATCATTAAAACAATAAAAATATCCCCATCAAATTTCCAAAGTAGATTTCTGATCCTTAGAATTCCAGGGAAAGAAGAAAAGTGCTTCTTTGATTTCTAGTTGGCTTTATCCCGAGATAACCAACCTCTAGCCGCATCTCAGATGGGTTGGTATAAGGTCTGGATTCCTTCCCTGCAGTTCCCTGCCTTCATCTCTTCCGTGCATCCTTTCATTTCTCCTTTGCCAGAAGTGGGTTCATGGGCTTGTTGGTCGTCTTCTTCAGAAAAGGCAGACGCCTAGCTCAAGTCTCTTGTTTCACCTGATTCAGAGATTCTTAAGTTGCAGCTGCTGATTACAGGCATCACCAGCGTAGGTTCATTGACCCCCAGATCTGCTAGAGTTGACTCTGGAGTTAGAGCCCAGGAATCAGTAATTCACAAGCTCTTTTGCCCAATGTATTTTTAGGACCATCATTTTAGGGGCTCCCTGGCAGCTCAGATGTCATGTCCCTGTGCTTCTAAACACTGTGTTCTATTGCCCCATGCAACAAAATCTTACACTCTGCTCTTATCCCCCTAGTGGCGGAGGGTGAGTATGGGGATATGTGTATGTTTTCTCATCAGAGGGCCGTTTCAGGGTGCCACATATCCAGTGTTAACTACCATCTCCAGGGCACTGTCAATCTCTTAACTTCTCATTTTGTTATGTATGTTTAGGAGAATGGCTTGCACATAAAAATCCTACTCAGCCTCAGCATCAACAGAGCATGAGGCAGGCTGTGCCCTTGACTCACTGTCAAAGTTTTCTTTGACTTGGAAACCACCCCCCTTTTCCATGGTCATGTATGCCTTTAGAGATCATTTCGTATCCTAAGGGGAGCATATTCTGCCAAGGACATGGAATCGTAGGAGAAATTCTCTAGGCCGGTGATTCCAATTTTAGATGCTAACATTATAATCCAGCTGCCCAGGCCACACTGCAGAGCATTACAGCAGATTCTTTGGTGGTGAGACCCAGTCTTCAGTATTTTTAAAGCTCGATTACACCGTGCAGGCAAGTCTCCAGCAGTGGAGGCAGGAGAACCGCTGTTGTAGGCGGAGTGACAGCTTTGAAAAGAGTTGTCTCTGATCTGTCGCGTGGTTGTTTCTGATGTGTCCCTCCCTTCCACTTTTCCTCCTGTTAATAGTGGTTTGTTTGAACTGCGTGGGGTGTGTTGGTGGGTTGGGGCATAATGAACTCACTCTTTGAGAACTGGAGTCTGGTGTTGTCGTTGCTCTAGGATGAAATAAAGTGATAGCCTTGTATTTACCATGTTCTTATGTATCCAGTAAAGCAGCACTGTGATGACAAACATTCTGTTTGTCTTTGAATGTTTTTCTTTTTCCCCAGTTGATGCTTTGGGTCTCTGCAATTTGAGGTGTTTGATCTACTGGGGCTTTAAATCAAGTGCCAAGGTGTCTAGAAAAGCTGAGAACCTTCCGTATTTTTATTGGCGCATCAGGGGCTGTAAGAGAATGAGAGGAGAGGCCTTGCAAGGGTGAAGGTTGCGTAGCAAGCTGATTTATCACACCTCTCTCCTGATAGAGCTCACTCGGTGCTGTCATACCACGGGAGCGATTTCAGCACTGCACTGGCAGGTTACTGGAACCAGGGGTGGATTGTGAAATGGTTCATGGGGAATGTCTCAATTTCTCTCTTCCTCTTTGTTTTCCCTTTCTCTTCTTTTCTATTGCTCTAGCTCTTGCCTATATCTTTAATTGGGCAAATGGTTAGAAAACAGAGAGAAAGCCATTCAAAGCAATTACTTTATTCCAGTTTAATATTTTAAAAGTAGGTTGCAAAAAGTTTGGGGAAGGGTAATTAAAAAGAAAATGTAACTGTACATCATTAGAGAACAAACCTTCCCAGGAATTACTACCATTTGTAATAGTCCTTTTAGCTTGTGTGATTATAATATGCTACCCACATGTTAGCTGGTTCTTCAATTAAGAAATAACCTCTATTATTAATTTCTCATTGAATATCAAGGGTAAGTCATGAAGAGGCCGTGATGAATAAGCTCAAGATTCTTTTTTACATGAAATTATAATGTTTTATATAGAAATTTATACATTGCAGATACTTTTCTACATACAGGCAAACACAAACACACACACATGTATCAGGATGTCTAATTGATATTCTGGGAGTGAAGCCAAATATCCATCGTCCGACCGGATGTCCTATTCATAAAATGAAACCATAGCTTTTGTTGCTTTGAGGGATACTGATATTCATCCCCTCTTTCCTTGCTTCTTAATTAACCACACACACATACACATATGCACATCATAACCACATGATGGAATGTGTTGTTAATAAGGGAAATAATCGTCCATAATTTCACTGCCGTGCTAAGAATACTTATTGTTTGGGGATATTCCTTATAGATTTTTTTCTAAAGATGTTACTTCTTCTAAAAATGATGTATAAACAAATTTACGTTATCCTTTCTCTTATTATAGTACCATAATCATTTCTACATAGGGCATAAAATTTACAAACAACATTTTAAATGGCTATCCATTCTATTTAGGGGATATAGATATATGCGATTTACTTAAACATGCCTCAATTTTCTAATTTTTCACTATCTTAAGTAATGTTATCGCTGTCCTTGTGCATAAAGCCTCCTCCATCCCGGCAGCTCCCCATATTTTGCAATATTCTCTAGAATGGATTCCCAGAATGTGATGTTTTAATTCACCACGTACTGTCACACAGAGCTGTTGGAACACCGACAGACATCCGGGGATCTCTAATAAATAACTTGTAGTGGTACTATTTGTACCACTTATCTTGGTTTATTTGCTCTTGGAGCTTTAATCATGGCTTCAGGGAGCAATTTTAGATAATCATTTACCCATCAGCTGAGACACTCTATCACACATATAAGGTCAAGGTGGAGCAGACCTGAGACAGAGGGATCTCAGACACCCAAGTGTGCAATCTCAGTCTCTGAAATTCTTTCCAGGAGGAAAACCCAGATTCTAGGCTCCGTGGCCACCGGGAGGGAACATGGAGAAGCCGTGGCTGTGTTTCCTGCTTGTCCTCAGCCTCCCCAGTGCTTTTTCCCAAAGAGGTAGGTGCTGCTTCAGAATGTGAGTGGAGTTCTTGGCTCAGGGTTAGACTGCGCGAAGCCAGGTTGGGAGAAATGGCCAGCATGGGGAAGGGGTTGTGGCCTGGAGCAGAGGGCAACCTGTGATTTCTAAATCCAGCCTGCCTGGACATAGTGAGAGCATACATCTCGGTGGTCTAACAAGCTATTAAAGACCACAGGTCCAAAGTGGAGTCAGTTATCCTAAACCCCACATCGGCAAACCAAGACTTACTACCTAACCTAATTGCAGATTCATCCTTTCCCAGGAATATGGCCTTTAACCAGTCAGTCTCGAATCACTTGGTCAGCACTAGTGTGTCAATCTGCCTGATCGACCCCCCTCCATCTCGTAGGAAGGTGACTTCAAAACAACCCACTCTGCTTGAAGCTCTCTCTTCCTAACCCCTTCTGCCGCTAAAAGCCTTGCATTTTGTACAGCTCGTCAGACCTCCTTTCCATCTGCTGGAGGGGATGCTGCCTGGTTCACGAATTGTTGAATAAAGCCAATTCGATCTTTAAATTTACTCTGTTGAATTTTGCTTTTTAGCACAGCTCAACTGCTGACGTTTTCCCTCTCTGTCTTCAATTCTACAGACTTGTGGAGAAAGGCCTTCGTGTTCCCCACAGAGTCAGATAATTCCTTTGTGACCCTGAGCGCACACCTGCAGAAGCCTCTCAGGGCCTTCACCCTGTGCCTGCAGGTCTACACGGACTTGACCCGCGGATATAGCATCTTCTCTTATGCCACCAGGGCACAATCTAATGAGATCCTCTTCTTCAAGGAAAATAGTGGAGTGTACAGCGTAGCTGTGGGAGGAGCTGCCGTCTTTTTCAAGCCTCCTGCGCTCTCCCCTGCGCCGCTGCACATGTGCATCACCTGGGAGTCCGTCTCAGGGATCGTGGAGCTCTGGGTGGACGGGAAGCCCATGGTGAGGCGGAGTCTGCGGAAGGGCTACTCTATAGGAACAGAAGCCAGCATCATCCTGGGGCAGGAGCAGGACTCATTCGCTGGGAGCTTTGATAAAAACCAGTCTTTGGTGGGAGACATTGGTGATGTAAACATGTGGGACTCTGTGCTGTCCCCCAGTGAGATTAGCATTATCTACGCTGGTGGAAAATTGAATCCTAATGTCCTGAACTGGGGGACGCTGAAGTTTGAAGAACATGGTGAAGTGTTCGTCAAGACCCAGCTGTGGCCCTGAGGCCCTTTTGTGAGTCCTGAAGTTGCCCCCCAGGGTCTGCGTTTTACGTTTCCCTTAACTCTGGCTCTGACGTGTTACTGTCCTGCATATGTGGCTTTGGTGCCCTGGGCGACTGTATTTCCCTCTCCCTTTTCTGCCTGGTTCTCACCAGCCGAGGCACAGGGCAGAGCAGAGAGTCTTTTTCATGACTGCCCATTAGAGTTACCAGGCCAATTAAATTTGGTATTTTTAGGGGGTGGGACCCAAGTGTCAATGTTTTTTAAAGCTCTCCAAGTGATTCCACTGTTCAGCCAAGGTTGAGAGTTATTTAAGTGTATGTTTAAGAGCAAGTGAGCCAACTTTTTATTCTCCTGAAAGACTGCTCATGTCTAACTTGTACTCCAGCCAACATCTTCCCTTCCCTTTATTGGCACCCCCAACCCCTTTTATTGTGCTTTATTGAGTTATCTAAAGAATGAGGGAATGGAACTTTTCCAGCATTTTGCCTCCACCTTTAGGATACGATCATTATGAATTAGAATTAACTACAATTTTCGTTAATCTGTTCAGTTTGAAGTTTCAAAAACCTAAAAATAAATGTTTTGGTCTTATTTCTATTTAATGTTTTCTACTTTTTTTCTTCAGGATCACCAATTTTCATTTTGGGAGATTTCCTTTATTTTTCTTTCTCATTTATTATCACTCAGACCACTTTTATCTGTGTCCTTCATCCTTATATTGTGGATTTTTAGTTTTCCAAAACTATCCTCCATATCAGTGCTTTGATTTTCCATCTGGCATGTTGAAATTCTTATTATTTCCAAAACGATTTCAAATCCTGTGATGCTTTTCGAGTTCTCTTAAATTCTTTCTTGCATTTTGTGTGGCTTTTTCAACCCCCATCTTTTACCAAGTCTCTGTTTTCCCCACTTTGCTTGAGAGTTTATTGCAGCTGTTGCCTAAGATTTTTAAATTTTTCCTGTGATTCATCTTTTATTGGAAGTAGATCTTCTCCATGCTTTCAATAATTTTCTTTCATATGCTACTATTTTTCAGTCCTTCTATTCAAATATAGAGTGAGAGGTGAGTTGAGCTCCTTCCCGTTTACCTGGTCACAGTTACGTTCCTCAGCAACTTAAGCTAGCGGACTGGTGCGCCTGTGCCTATATTAGGAGTTCCTGGTCAGGCAGCCCAGCCCTGATATCCTGACGCTCCCCTTTTAAGTGACACCCCCCCCTCCCCACACCATTTTCTTCCAATGTCCCAGACCCTCAAAGGTGCACTTTTCAAATATTTATGTCTTCATTTCTCTCTCAGTGGAATGATCCAGAGTGCTGGGGCAGGGGCAGGGGCTGGGGCTGGGGTTGGGGTGGGGAGCCAGCGGGGGGAAACAGTTAAAAATAGCAGCGTAATCAGGCAAGACTGGGCCTTGGAAGAAGGTCATAGGCTGGGAAGCTTCCGGCACCCCCTGACAGGCTCCCCGCCATGGTGCCACTGTGCCGGCGTAGCATCTCATGTACATGTGGCAGCCCTCTCTGGGACTCTGGGAGCCTTTTTCTCCACCAGGTGTGAAGCGGGTAGAGATGCTCGTTGCCGCTCTGTTCTGAAACTTAGATCTGTAGGGGAAAGGTTTCGGTACGTTTTTTTTTTTTTTACTTGAGATCTAAGCTGGATTCTTTGCCAGCCAAAAGGTTGATGCCCTGAACATTATTTGAGTCCTGTGTCTGTTTCTTAGTTCCTTTAAAACCCATGTGGAAGAGATGAGATTGTCCCCTCAGGGCTCGAACAGTACCTGCCACAAAGACAGGTGAGCGCTGTGACATGGAGAGGTCCACACTCCCTGTCCCTGGTTCTCCACCTGCAAGTAGCCTGGGCAGGATTGCAGACTCGGTAGAACAGTAACGGGATCGGGGACAATTTCTCTCACAGCACAGAGGGGTGGCTCTCATTGGTGATGGGATTTCCACAGGGAACAAGGCCAGGTTTATTCAAGAGTTCCGACCTTTAATTGTGACACTCCCCACGAGCAGGGGCAGGTTCGCCTCAGAACAAACCGAGGTGGCCTTTGTACTATGGGAGCTGAGTACTGACAGACAGAAGTGGATCCTGTTTCTGTCAGTAATGCTTTACTCGTGTTTGGGGCCAAAGAGGGACTACTGAAGGTCCAATCTGTACATCTGAACGGCTGGCTCATTTGCAGTTTCTTAAAAGCCTTCCCCCCCCCACCCCCCACCTTTCAACCAAAGTTTAAGATAACAAAGTACCTGGGCTCAGATCCTGGTTCCATCTCTTCATGTTGTGTGACCTTGGGAAAGTTATTTAAAATGTTATGTTCTTTGGATTTCTTCGTCTCTAAAATGGGGATGACCTAGGGCTGGCACATAGCTAGGGCTCAAAGCATGTTATCTATGATTTACTAATAACAATGCTGGTTTGATCATGATTGTGGATTTCAAAGACCCCGCCTCTGGGTCCGAGACCATCAATAAACAGAGAAAAAGGGAGACTCCGGCTCTATGTGTCAATGTGTCAGCTTGCAGTGGATAAAATAATCATGGGCATTTCCAGAAACTTAAGGCACAGAGAGAACACTGCACCTGGACGCTGTGGCTCCAGGAAACAAGGGTGCTCAGAGGCGGTATGAAGACCACAGTGAGAGCTAGGGAGGCTTCAGATTTTGGCATGTGGTCAGAAGACTCTCACTCAGACTGTTAGGAGAACTTCAGAAACCCAAAGAGGACGAAATCAGTTTAAAAGAGGCTTTCTTCTACAGTGGAAATGACAGGAAATGGGAAAGGAAAGACGGTCCCCTGACCCTGTCCAGGTCGGTCCTACAGGGAGTAAAAGGAGTCGTTCAGTGCAGGCAGCTGCCTGACCTTGCACAGCTCAGCTGCGGGCTCCCTTCAGAACACAGGAGCCCTGGAGGGAAAGGGAGTGGGACATCAGAGGAAGCAGCAGAGCTCAAACTTCTGAGGAAGAGAAAGTGGAAAGAAAGGCTCTTGGATCATTGACTGGCCCAAGTCACTTTGGGCCTGGAAACTCCAAACCTGAGGACAGATGGTGGTCGGGGTGGAGCTGGGCCAGAGGACACAGGGCCCACCGCTCAGCCCCCGAGAGCAAAGGCTGTGGACGTGCTGCCCATGCAGCACAAATTCGGAGTCCACTGACCCTTTGCAGGAGGCCAGGTTCAAAGCCGCACAGGCTTTCCAGTTTTCATTAAGTGCAGAGAAGGATCTTTCCCAATGTACAGAAGAGCAGGTCCCCTCCTGATTCAAAACCTGCAACGGTTTCCCTGGCATTTAGAATAAATAGTCCAGTGCTTCCCCTGGCCCTCCAGGCCCTGTGTTTTCTGACTTATGCTCCCCTCTGTCACCGTCCCACGTGCCTCTCCCTTGCTGTGCAGATGCCTGTCCATCTGCCATTTCGTCTGTTCATTTCTCTCATCAATACGCCCTGAACGCTTGTGAGGTGACAGGCAGTAGCTTCAGATGCTTGGGAGAAGCACTGAAGTCACAGAAACAAGAGCAATCGAACCACACACACACACCAGACGGGACTGTGGCCGTCTGGGCCTGACGTTACAGTAAGTTTAAACAGGCTTCATGTGTTTCCACAAGGAGTTTGCCTTCTGCTTGTCCTTCAAATCCTCACATGGCTGGTTCCACATCATTCTGTCTGCAGCCAGAGGTCCTCTCCTTGGAAAGGGCTTTCCCCAGTCATTTTCATCATCTGTTACTGTTTTCTAAGCAGATATCACTGTCTGTAAAAAATTGGCAGGGGGAGGGTTGTTTCTTTATTGGTTTCCCCCCCACTAGATTGTTAATTCCATGAGAGCAGAGACATTATTCCCTATTGAATCCCCCATTTCTAGAATGGTACAGCTCATGTATGTTCTCAATAAATATTTGGCAAATAATTAATTCTGGAGAGGCAGCAGCAGCGAGGAAGTGCTTGGGGTGCTGCTGAGGATGGAGACATACTCCCAGAGCAGGAAGTTGTAAGAAGTTTTGTTCACAGAATGGTCTGTTATAAATGTGCAATAGTTTGCTCCTTAGAGAAGGGAGGGGATGGCTGCGGACAAGAGTCTGCATTTGAGTCAGTATTACATTTCTGGAATAAAGAAGGTAGGGAAATAGAAATTTTTTAGTTATTAAGAATACACGGGTGCTAAAAAAAGAAAGAAGGAAAAGGCCAAATTGGAGTCATTTGCCCCCTACAACAGCAAACCAAGACTTACTAACCTTTTCAACATATCCCAGGAATATGATCTTTTAGTCCGTTTGAATTTCCGGATCAGTATTAGTGAGGGAATCTGCCTGATCAAACCCTGACATTCCCTTTCCCTCCAAAGCAGGTGTCCTGCCCTGAAACAGTCCCTCCCCTTTCTTTTGCTAATAGCTCCTCTGCCCCACCCTCCTGCCTATAAAACCTCCCATTTTGCACAACTCCCCTAGCATCTTGTCTACTTGCTAGATGGGGATGCAACACGATTCATGAGTCACTGGATAAAGCCAATTAGACCCTATTTACTCTGGTCTAAATTTTGTTCCTTAACATGGTATTGACAGCAGGGGTATCAGGTAGCTTCAGGAGAAATCTGCTAATTGTTGATTACTTCACATGTCTAAATTTTTCAGAGACAGAGTTATTCCAAATGCCAATCTCCATAATGAGAGGCAGGATACATACATTGGTGAATTTTCCTCAATGGCATGGAAAATATTTTGGCACAATGAACTTAACGCTGGGAGGGAGATTTCTTCCAAGTGCGCATGTGTTTAATTAAGACATGCGCTGAGTTACTGATGTTTAAATTTGGCCAGGGATTCTTTTGTTTTTAAATCAAGGTATAACAAAGGGGAGCTGTGTCCGCTACCCCAAAATATGCCCCTTTGGCATATTGATTAATATGAGCTGGTTATTTTTAAGAAACCGGAGATGCAGGAGAAGCTCTGAAAACTGAGTACAAGTTCTACCCTTTTGTAAGAGACATTTACAAGTATAAGCAGAATCCCATTTGTAAGACTGTCTCCCTCTCTGTACTAAGAAGTGGGGGATGACTGTAAATCTACAAACCTCGTATCAATAGAGAAGGCAACAGATGACTGTTATGAATCTGCGTAACAACTTTCCTGGTAACCTCCTATACCTACTCCCCAGCCCCCAAAATCTTTAGTCATTAGCTGAAGGTGATATTTAAGGTGGTGGTACACAGAAGGTACAGATGTTATTAAAGTTCTGTGTGTTCTCCTGATAATCTGTCTTTTTATTATGGGGGTTCTCAGCCAAGAACTTGAAGAAGAGAAGGAAAATTATTTTTCCTCCCCACAATGACATACATATAAGAAAAATGCACAGATCACGAGTGTATAGTTCATTGAATTTTTGCAAGGTAAGCAGAGGTGTGTAACCGTCACCCCCATCCAGCCACTTCAGAAGTCCCCCATCTCCACTCCCAGCCACAGCTTCCCCACCCAAAGGCAAGCATTATTTTGACTTCTAACTCCACAGATGAGTTGTGGTTGTTTTAACACTTTATATAAAATGTTTTTTATGAACCATTTAAGAGTGAGTGTTGATACGTTGCCCCATCACCCTTAAATACTTTATAGGTGCAGTTCATGTAGAGGAAGACCTTCTTTTCCATAACCACAATACTACCGTCAAAATCAGGAGACTAACACCCTCTAATTTACGGGTCCCATTCAAGTCTCACCAATGGTCCCGAGGTGTCCTGCAAAGCAGAACCTTCCAGCCCAGGACCATGTGCTGCATTTGTGGTCACGTCTCAGTAGTCTTCTTCAATACCTAGAGCATTTTGTATTCTTTCTAGTCTCTCCTTAACTTGGACAACCTTAACATTTGAAGGTTCCAGGCCAGAATATTCCTCATTTTGGCAGAAATATACAGAATTGAGGCTGTATTCTCATTGCATTCCATTGAGAGGAGAACATCTTGACTTGTCCCATTCCTTGATTATTTGATTCTCTCTATTTAAAGTTACCCCTTTTCTCTTTGCAATTAATAGATACCTTGTGAGGAAATACTTCAAGATTATGTAAATATACCGTTGTCTGTCAAATTTTCACTTACTAGTTTTAGCATCCATTAGTGGGTGTTTTTTTTGTGTGTGGCTAAATTAATTATTACTGTGACAGTTTATCAAATGGTGGTTTTCTAATTCCATCATTTCTTCTAGTTTATTAATGGCCTTCTACTGTAAAGGAAAAGCTTTCTCTCTCCTCGTGTATTTAGTCATTTATTTATATCAGTCTGGACTTGTAAATGGTTGTTTGTTTTCATTTTTACCATATAGCAACCTACTCTGAATGAAAATGGTAATTGTCAATATCCATTTCTTGATCCTAATCTCAAGGGGAAAGTTTTCAATAATTTGTGGTTAAGCATGACATTTACTCCTTGTGTATTTTTTAAAGCACCCCTGCGTCTTCTTATGGCAAAAGAGAAAGTTCAGCCTTGCAAGTTGTAGGCCTGTTGTCCTAACATCTTTCTGTGCCACCTCACATTCCTTTGGAGCCAGCAGCCACCTTGACAGGTACTATGTATTCTGATGGTGGGATAAGATCCATGGCCCTAGCTTGTTCTCCCAGGGTGACCTGGAGAGGGGGAATGGTGATACCACATAGGAGAGAGCTTCTAGCATCAGAATATGGCCTCGACCCAGTAGTGTTTACTTCATTCCGCCCACCCGGTGACCGTGTCCAGAAGTGGACCATGTCCACTTAATTCCCCTGCCCTAAGTATTTCTGCTTCCCCGAGGCTTCTTCCCCTATTGTGATGGATTCTTGCGCATGAGGTGAGAGGAGGGCGTGGAAGGGAGTGCCTGGCCAGACTGTGTGCTCTTCCTGTTCTCAGCTCACCTTGGCCAGTCAGCCCTCTGAGCCTGCCCCTCAAGGTGGCTGGTGCTGCATTCTCACCAGGCCACTCAGAGAGGAGGCGCACCATCCCTCCCAGGGCAAGCGGGCAACAGAACCAAGGTCCAGATAGAAAACTGCTTCCCTTCACTCCCCCCATTGTGGGGTCTGGCTTCCTTTTGCTGGAAACTTCTTCTTCCCTTTCATATCAGTACCTGGTCATCTTATCTTCCCCAGCATGTCTCCCACTTCATATACTGGAATCCAGCAACCTCCCTCTTCGTCGGCGGCTTCTCTAGAGTTTGGTTCCAGGGAGGGAGCCGTGAGTCCGGGCTAGTTTGTTCTGTTCTACAGAACTGCCAGTCTCTTAAAGGAGAAACTTAATAGGAGGGTCACAGGATCCACAGGAAGGACAGTGGGATGTTATTGAGAACAAGTCATGAGTAAATTGAGGAGACATATCATATTCTTGGACAGGGAGACTTTATATTATAAAATCTCAATCATTCCAAGGATGTCAATCATACTTAAATTAATACATAAATTTAACTTAATCTGAATAAAATATCCAGCTTATTAAGAAAATAAATCTGAAATTGACCTTGAAGAATAAATATGTGATAAATGGGAAAAAATTTTGAAAAAGAAAAAAATATCCTAAGGGGAACTTTAAAGAATTTTTTAAAGATTTATTGAAGTATAGTTGAAATACAATATTCTATTGGTTTCAAATATATAACATAGTGATTCAATAATTATCTATATTATTAAAGGCTCACCCCAACCAGTGTAGTTACTATCTGTCAATATAGAAAGATTACAGTATTATTGACTATATTCTCTATGCTGTACTTTCATCCCCATGACTAATTTATATTATGACTGAGATTTTGTGCCTCTTTATCCCCTTTACATATTTCACCCACCTACCCCAGCCCCTTCCCCACAGTAACCACCAGTCACTTCTCAGTGTCTATGAGTTTACTGATGTTTGGGGGAACTGTTTTTAAAATAGATACCAGAACTTACTATCTATAAAGCCGCTGGAGTTAAATCAATATGGAATTTGAATAGGAACTCACAATAAATCAGTGGAACATAAATAAGAGCCCAGACGCAGATCCAGATGTACGCAGACTATGGCAAATCATTTCAGTGGAGGAAGGGGAGGCTTAGACAATGATTGGTGTTGGAACTGTTGTCAATCCATTTGAACTAAAATAGAGTCAAATCTTAATTTTGCACAATATATAAAATTAAAAATTTGACTTGTTAAATCTTTATATATGAAACATGAAAACACCACAAAGTGTTTTAAATATTTAGGAAAATATTTGTAAAATCTCAAGGTCATGGAGACTTTTCTGAGCAGCACAGGAAGCCCATGGCTATCTGAAACACTTGCTAGGACAAAAGTGAATATAAACAACAAATACCAAGTGATGAACTGGGGAGATATTCTCTCTCTTCTTCTTTTCTGTGTGTGTGTGTGTATATCCTTAGTATATGAAAGTGTTTACAAATAATGAAAATACACTTGAGGGGCGGAAACATGTGAATGGACAATCACAGTACCTAAAGTGCAGGTGGCCAGTAAAGATATGAAATGACACTCAATCTTGCTTATAATCCAAGAAATGCAGTTTAAAGACAGTAATAATATACTATTTTTTAGATGTGATTAGATTGACAAAAACATTAATATCACCAAGTGATGGGAAAATAAGCAGTTTCATACATTTGTGCTGGGAGTGAAAATTTGTACAAGTTTTTGGAACTTAATTTGACAGTATCTATTAAAATCTTGAAATGCTCATATTCTTTGACTTAGTAATTCTGTTTATTAGAAATCTGTGCTATATCAATGTGATTAAAGTTCCTAAGGAGATATGTAAAAAGACATTTATTAAAGAATTCTCACTGTAAACATTTGGAAAAACACCTGTTCATTAATAAGGGAATTCTTGAATATGGTTGAATAAATCACGCTACACTGTACTATGGAATATTGTACAGTTACCAAAAAATAATGAAATCAATCTACATATGCTATCGAGGAAAAAATGTTCAGGGGAAATAAGCAAGTCCCAGACCAGCATGTGCAAGCATAATTCCAATTTGCAACACAAAAACGTTTTCATGTAAATGGTTATACAGATGGTAAGCAAATAAGTAGATAAATAGTAGAGAAATATAAGGCAGATCTGTATAAAGGCAAGATAAATTGGGAAAGGATCTGCTTGTATTACAATAAATAGGCAGAGGTGGGATTTCTCACTATTTCTTTATTATAAAATTGTTGAATTGATGGGATTGTGTCATGTGCCCAAAATGCATCTTGAAATAGAATGAATATAAATACTCAATTTTCCCATTTTTTTATGAGGAAAACACACCTACTCATGTATTTGTGTGTAGGTATCAAAAAACACAAAAGGGATTCAAAGTAATGTTAACAGTGGTTTTCTTGGAGGGGAAGGGATTACAGGTAGTTTTTGAAAAAAATCATTGGCATTTTCTATAATAAGTATATTTTGCTTTCCAAAAATCAATACATTTTATATTCAGAGCAGTTTTAGGTTCACGGAAAAACTGAGCAGAAAGTACACCGAGTTCCCCATGTCCCCTGCCCCCACGCAGGTGGGACCCCCCACTGTCGGCATCCCACACCAGAAGTACATTTGTTATGAGTGATGAACCTGTGTGGACGCGTCAGTCACTCAGAGCCTATAGCTTACAGTGGAGCCCACTCTTGGGGGCGCACATGCTATGGCTTTGGACAAGTGCAAATGACATTGTTGGCTATGTCATTATAGTATCATACAGAGTAGTTTTACTGCCCTAGAAGTCCTCTGTGCTCTGCCTATTTAGCCCTCTCTCCCCTGACCCCTAGCCCCCAGCAACCACCGATCTTTTACTGTCTAAAATTTTGCCTTTTCCAGAATGTCGTGTGGTTGCAATCACACAATATGTGGTCTTTTCATATTGGTTTCTTTCACTTAATAACACACATTTAAGCTTTATCTTTTTTTTTTACAGAGTGGAGTAAATATTGAACATTTTTGAAGGACTCAGAATAGAGGATGCATTCCTGGATCATGTGGCCTCTGAGTTAGTGTATTGTGACCCAGTTCCTGAGCATCTGTGAGCAGCGCCATGCAGACAGCTCTTGTGAGCTGAGGGGCAGCCTCACTGGCTCAGACCTATGCCTGGATGGTGGAAACGAGCGTGTGAGCCAATGTCCCTGATTCTGCTTTGTACTTCTGGGGGACAGTAGCCTTGATTTAACTGACCATGGACCCTATTTAGCTCAATGGGCCAGTAGAAATAATTCAAGGAGGGCAATGTAGGAATATTTAAGGTTCCTGTCTCTTATTTTCTGTCCCCTCCTCTCCAAGAATGAGAGATTCTAATTGATTGGTCAAATTTGCAGACTCTGATGGTTCCTGGTTTGTTGAATTATAAAAATGTAGTGTCTCCCCTGTCTCCCCCTTCTCCTCCCCTGACATCAGAGCGCAGGGGAGCCAGCTTCTCGCACTCTCTGTATCACTGTGTCTCTGCCTCTCTTTGCCTAGGGGTCTATCTTCTGGATCTTTCACCTTCTGCCCCTCTTCCTGTCAAGCTCCAGGCCAATGCTGCCAAACTCGGTCAGGAAATTTAGGCCCAATCTCAGGAAGACAGCAGGTCTTTAACCTTTACTGGTGGTATTCACTATCAGTTATAAATTTTAGGCACACTCTACTGATATTTGTATATTTAACTTTTTGTAAATGATATAGGTACCACAAATGTATTATGTACATCATAAGATATTCATAGAAATAGAAATTAGGAAAGGATGAAATAAAAATAAAAACAAGCTAGTTCCATTATTTAATTCTCACCTGAAGACAGGGCCAGCTTCATGGGTGTGTGGCCTGTATCGTCGCTCACAGAAGGCTTCCGTGCTTGGTTTAAGGCTTTGCTGTCATGTCTTGGGATTCTTAGGTATTTGGAGCAAGGAGCCCTGCACTTTCACTTTGGTCAGGGCCCCACAAATTATGTAGCTGGTTTTGCCTGAATGGGTCACTTTGTCCTCTCTGGGTTGTGTTCACACCTTGTGGAGATCCCTGGTCTAGAAGACCAATTAGTCCAAGTTCTCTAGTATGTCCTTCGTAGCGCAGTACGAGTTTGTGCCTATTTCTCCTTTCTTTCCTTTTCCTCATTATACTTTAAGCCCCAGAAATATGGAGCCGTTTGCTATTCTCATTCATACCATGCAGCCTCAAGACTACCTTTGCACGGAGTATTTCTGAATACTCGAATGCCTGTCCCTGCCTTACACACCTGGAAAACCCCTACATCTCAAAAATTAGCTCAGATACAACCACTGCAGGACTGCTTGCTAGATGATTAGTGCTCTGAGAGCAGAGAGCCCAGGGTCTAATTAGATTAATCAGTAAGTGAGATTTTCCCTTTCAAAATGCAAATCCCAACGCCCTGTATATAATATAGTATGTGCTCCCTACGTGTTTGCTGAATTAAGTACTAGGCAGAGCTCTTTTGCTGCAAGGGGGGACGGAACAACTTAAACCATCTCAAGCCAAATCAGGAATCTACTGGTCACAGAGCTAAACTGCCAAAAGGAGACGTGGCTGGGCCTCAAGGATGACTGGAACCCGGCTGGAATGTTGCCAGGCTTTCTCTCACCTTTACTTCTCCCTGTTTCATCCTCTCACGCCTGGTTCTTGCATGTGTCTGGAAACCCGTCACTGGCAGCTTCTAGACTCATACCTCACATCTTTGTTCTAGAACGTTCAAGTGATCCAGGAAATGGTCCAGACTGGTTCAGGTTGGGCCAGGAGTCCATCACTGGGCCAGCCATTGATCCCAGTTTTTCACCTTTCCTGGGGGGTGAGAGGGGGTGTTTTTTNAGGAGACGGAGTTTCAAAGATCCTGAAATAGCTAGATTCTTCTGTAGTTTTTTTTCCCCCAGCTTTATGGAGATATAATGGACATATGACATTTTGTAAGCTGAAGGTTTACAAAGTGTTAATTTGATATAGTTATGTGTTGCAAAATGATTACCACCATAGCCTTAGAATAGTTCTTTTTTATTTCAGCTTTTCTCTCTCACACATGGTTTCCACAATTTACTTCAAATTCCTGTCACAATTTTGTTCAATCAAATATTTATCTATACGTATGTTTGGCTTGCATAGCTTCAATAATACAAAATCACATTTCTGAGTTTTCCTATTTTACTGTCATTATTCATTTCCCTCTTTAAATTACAAACATTTAAAAATTGTATTCTGAAGTGAGAACATGGATCAGTCATTTCATAAAGACAAGTTGCAATGCAATCTTGAAATCACTGAAAACAAGTAGGATCATCAGAGAAATTCAGGAAAACAGTTGACAGTGAGAAGTGTGGCAGACAACATATTGTCCCTCACAAACAGGACAGAAAAGATGACAAAACTACCCTTTGTCATAATGAATGACAGTAAACAGCAGCATTTACATGAAAAGGTTTAGGGTATTTTTGGAAACTTATTCAAATATAGGTTTTATTATGCAGAGATGTGAATCAGCATAAAACATTTTTTACATCTTCACCCTTAGTTGCACTGTTACCTTTTGGAGGCTCCATTCTAAATCTTAGAAAGAATATTCACATGTACTTATCTTCTCAAATATGTATTTTTCCCCTCGTAAAAAAAAATTGAGATAATCTTTATAGTTCTGCTTTCAAAATTATCCAACTAAAAGTAACTTATTTAGGTTTGGCTATCTTTTTTGCCCATTTATCATACTTGGGAAAGTATTTGGAAGGGAGACATTTTCCCCCCAAATACTGAACTTAAGTTTTAAACTTTAGTTAAGTTTTCCATTTGTATAAAAGTTATTTTCTAAGGGAAATTTATTATGAACAGGGAAATGATTTTGCAAGTTGTTTCTACCAGCCATATATATTCCTACTCAACTTATTGAAGGTTGTTGGTCAGAGTAGACAAATTAGAGATTGATTAATTGTTTTGCTGTAGAGAAAAGATGTCTTCAGAAAGGATAAATACCTAGATAGAGTGAATTGATTGAGTTCTTATTTTAATAATTGAGAAAGGGGCCACAAATTCGGCTTATTTAGCAATCTGTAAGAACCTAAACACTCTCAATAGAGGCAAAACTATTCAAGTTTTTCTGGCGTGTAACAAACACACAGAAGTGAGGATGATATTTGAGAATTGATTAAAGAAAGTTGATGATGGAGACTGAGTCATTTGAAATTCTTTATCCATTTAGATGTGATGAAAATTATAACTTTGGTGGTAAGATAATGAATGATATCATTACTATCTTTCTTTGCTGAAAACGAGTCCCTTTGGCAAGTATTTTCCCAAAACAGTAAAACAAACATGTCAGTAGATCAGTGGGCATTTTAGCTGAACCAATGATAAAAGCTATTTGATTTCTCAGGAAGAAAATATGCTGATCAAAATTTCCACCGAGTATTGCTTGCCAGAGGTGAGGGTGGGTAGGGGAATAGGTGAAATAAGTGAAGGGGATTAAGAGGTGCAATCTTTCAGTTATAAAATAAATAAATAGTGGGGGTGAAAGGTATTGTCTCAGTACTGGAGTCAGTAATATTGTAATAACTTTGTATAGTGACAGATGGTAACTACAGTTATTGGATGAGCATTTCATAATGTATATAATTGTCAAATCAATATGTTATATACCTGAAACTCATATAATATTGTATATCAACCATAATTCAATTAAAAAAACTTCCACCAGATACAAGTTGTAAATGTTGGCAGCCCAATGGCAGGATTCTGGTATCTTACTTGGGTGGTCACTCTGCATAATGACAAAATAAACAAGAAACAATGAGCCTCCCTCCCTACAAAGCACAAAAGCACCACCACCAAAAGCCGAATCTGTGTGTCTCTACATGAGTGAGCCTAGACTCCTGAAATATTATGGCACCAAGACAGACAAGAGCAATTGCCTGGTTGCTGAATCTAATTTATCAAGTGTCAGTTCAGTTCAACTCAGTCCAGATCTTAAAAGTGACATGCTTGGGACATCAGCCTCCTACCTGCAGGGCAGTAAGATAGGTAGGACATGGCTGGGTTATTTGTTGTGATTTTGAGTAATTTTAAACCTAAGTTGAATATAAAAAACAATCAATGTTATAGAAATTAGAATGCAAACTATGCACTTATTTTAGCATAAAACAGGAAACTGTTAAGACATTCCATGTTTGTGGCAGCATTCATGATGCAATCCACGGTCCTCTGAGGGACATGTGTTCACTTATTTTCAGGTGTGTGTGTGTGTGTGTGTGCGTGTGTGTGTACAAGCAAAGGTGTGCTCTGTGTTGGGTGTTCTGAAGTCAAAGCTGAGAAGACAAGCCAGAGGTAAGTGACATTCCAGGGTCAATGTATACGATAGGAAATGAGGTTTGTGGTCAAGAGAAGGAAAAGAGGGTAACAGGAAAAGCTGGGATGACGAAGCAGCCCACAGGAACTGACACTGTGAAGAAAACATCCTCTCCTGTCACCCTTACTGTAGGCTTCTCTCTTGTCCTGAGGTCGGGCCATCATTATATTCTGAGTCTGGGCCCATAGGCAAGGCCCACACCAAAGCAGGATCTTGATTCTCCCTCAGAAAGTCTAGATATTTTCCGTGTCAACCATTATGCAAAAAGGCTAACCTTAACTCACAGGAAGATGAAGGTGGAGCTTAGCCAGAAGGAAAGGGATCTCGATCCTATCTGAGGTTCTTGCTCGCCTGCGCCCAGACCTGGAGGAGGATGGAAATGTGTCCCGTTATTCCCTGGCTCTTGCCTCGCGTATCCCTTGAACTGGGAGAGAAGGAGGCTGAGGCCGCCTGAGGAGGAAGACCCAGCTCCCGGGGGCTCCGAGAAGACGCCTATCCCAGATCCACACCTAAGTTTCACTTGCTGTCTTTTCTCATTGTTGTCATCTTTGAGAATTTAGTTTCTCTTCCTAAATATAACAGTATGGGCTTAGGTGTGTAATGGAGAATTGAGGGGAGGATTTACTAGTTTTGGGGTTCACTCAAAGAGGGAAAGAAGAGCCTCTGAGACCATTAGGCCGCAATGACGCAGAGCCTCCAGGGTTTCAGGGAGCCGGAGCTGAGCTACCGAATCCAGTCATCCTCTCATGCACACAGATATGCTGGCCTGTCTTTTACCCTAAGGGATTTGAAGAGATGAGAAGCATCATATACTGGCAGGAAAATCTGATGTATCATGTCTGCTTCTGGGAAGAAGAAACCAAAGAATGAAAGTTTGTTTTCAGGAGGTGTTGGGCATTTATTTATTTCCTAATTAACTCTTTCTCCCCCTTGCTCAGGCAAAAACTAGTCATTTAATGTCTTTTGAGATAGAAGGCTGACCATAGTGTCCGGTGAACAGTGAAACAAGATATTTATTGAATGAATGAATGAATGAAGATGACACAGCCTCCATCCTTGCAGCTCACAGGTGAGGAATCGTTCACAAACAACTCTATTCCAATGAGAAATGTGTTGTAGACTGTTAGTGAATACTGAACTTCAAAGTACAAACTAACAGAGTGGTTTACTTTTTCTTTGAAACAAGGCGAGGGGAAGAATGTGGATGGAATGTGGGGTTCAAGGAGGTCTTCAAAGGTGATGAGATTTTGAATGCAACTTGAGGACACACACAGTTTTTCCTGGTGGGGAATACTTGAGAAAAATTATAATGAGCAGAGCATGGCTTCTTACAATAAATGAGTCAATATTTTGTGATCAATTTACAATGAAAGTCTTGAGGTTCTGAAACATAATTTTTTAATCACTTCACTTTGTCCAATTGTGCAAAGGAGACAATTAAAGGAGAGGCTTCCATGACCACTTACAGCTTTAGAATTTCCTTTAGGAAGGTTAGAAGATAGAAAACCACACGTACCCTACAAATCTTAGCTAAAGCTTTATGTAAATCCTAAAGGATTCTGGTTGCCAGAGAAGATATGTTGCTTTTGTGTCTGTGGTTTAGAAATAGGCAGGGATAGATGGTTGGGACCAGGTACATAGACACAAAGGGTCTACTATAAAATTCAAGCAAGTTACAGCTTTCCTAAATAGCAGAGACCGTAAAACAGGATTAGAACGTTTCTGATGAAATAGAAGAACCAGAAGAATTTAATTTGCTCAAGAACTTTTTTGCTTAAAGAGAAGAGAAGGTATTTGCTTGGGACATTTCAGTTAAAACTGGAGATAGGAGGCTAGCTTTGTATCTCAAAGTCTTTCCTTGACTGAGCCCCATGGATCCATTATTGAGCATTTTGGAGATTTGTGGTGATAATTAGAATCAAATAAGCTATATTTGTGAAGGACTTGGCTGTATAGGGAGGGCAAGCAATGCAGGTTTGGTACTCCTTTGAGTTGGGGAGACATCAATTTCCCCTACTTTACAGGGAAAGATCACAAAACCCTGCTGCCTTGAGGACTGAAGGGAGAGTGCCCAACCTTGGCATCTGGTAAGGGAGCTTCAGAAGCCCCAGGGACCACATCCCTGGGGTAAACATCAGCCTTCCCCCAGGGAGCGGTGGAGGCAGGGACAGGGAGAGAGGTTTTGTGAGCTTCAGAAAAGTGGATGACAGCGCAAGTGGAAGTCCAAGAGGGGACTAAACGCATCTCAGCACCTCTAGGGACTCTTGGCAGTGACTGAGAGTAACTCTGTGGTTACGGGAAGGACTATGGAAGTTTTCAACTCCTGTGATTCAATTCTTTTTCCCAGATTAAGGAGGCCTGAGAAAAGCTCCATGTTGCAGAAAAGTCCATAAAGACCGAGCATTCCAAGGCTTTACTTTGAGCTGGTGCATGAGCACATCACTTATTCCACAGGGATTAAGGATTCTCCCCTTCCTCACTGAGGTGGAACAGAAGAGGCAAATTGTTACATACACATGGTCTAACCTGAAAGGCCAGGTAACGTTGACCGCAGAGATACAATTAACGTACTGTTATTGTTATAGAAAGTGAGTTTAGTCACTCTCAATGGATCCATTTGCTATTTTCTAAAGATTTTGATAAAGATCTTTCAGGTATTCATGTATTGAAAGAGCTTGACAGAATGGATCCAGATTTCTACGTTAAAATAATGGTGTCCAGAGAGAGTAAAACAGGTAATAAGCACCACGGATGGCACTCTGTCATTGTGAGGCTAGCTTCTCTCTGGGTAGGCCACTGTTACTTTGAGTGGCTGCTTATTATTTTATCCATCACAGGTATGCACCATAAATCACTAAGCCATCCATTTATGTAGTGAATATAAATCTTATTCAATAAACTCAGGTAAGCAGGAAATGTCACATCTCTATTTGCTTTAAATCAAATTAAATAAGTCTCTGGACTTCTATCGCATAGAGTTGCTGAGCATTAACTCCAACTTGGTCATTATTTGGGTTCCCTTTCCCATGACCCAAGGTCATGTAAAGGTTCCGGGAGCGTTATAGGAACACTCAAATGTCAGGGAGGCCCACTGGGTGCTGCTGAGATGTCCATTGTTCAGGCCTTCCTGGACCTTTGAAGTCTGCAACTCTGTCGCTTCTGCTAGACAGACCACAGGTGCCTTGGTCTAGGTTGGGGTCCTAAGGATCTTGAGGTACACTTTGCAGGCATCGTCTGACTGTGCTTCCTCCCTAGCAGGCTTGCAGAGAGCGGAGCCAGGGTCTCTGATACACACTAGAACTGCCAGCCTCTGTTCCTCTTCCAGCCAGAGATGCTCTCTTCATTCTCCCTGGGTGTGTCTGTGTGTCTCCTTCCCTCAGTTCCCAGCATGATCTCTGCAAGAGCTCAGGGTTTTGGCGAACACATGTTCAGTAGAGATTATCTCCAACAGCTTCGGTTGTTTGCTATTACAAACCTCCCCCTGACACAAGGAAACTCCATGCTACTTGCTTAGAATAGGATATATTCCAACATATTGAACAATAGCGACAGCAAATTACTGCCTCAGGGGTTAGCCCTGCTGCTTATTCAACAAACAGTAATCTACTACTAACCATGCGGCAGGCTCCGAACCAGGCACTAATAGTGAGCATGACAGGGTTTATCACTGTTTTCAAGTGACTGTCGTAATGGACAATACACACAGGTCCACAGCCAATGACCACACAGTTGATAAGTTTTGCAGAGTTATTTGATCTGGAGTTGGGAGGTGCAGAAGTCATCCTTAGAGGATGTTTCACGTAAGTTGAGAGTGGAAAAAGAGCACGAGTTCACAAATGAGGATGTGAACATGTGCAAACATCAGGGGCAAGAGAGATACCACCATCTTTTAAAAATTTGAAGATCCACAGGCCTGGGATGCTGAAGTTCAAGGTGGGGTGTGGAGAGAAATGAAGCTAGCAGATTAAACGTGACACCTATCAACAAGGAGCATACACAGTCTAAGGTCCTGGGAACTAAGGGGGTTGCTCACTTAACACGTTTCAATCTCACTTTTTCTTGCCTTACTTTTCTGTAGTGATTGGAAAGTTAAAATACTGACCTTCCTAACCTCCCTTGGGAGTGAGGTGAAGTCTGGTTCTGGCCAGCTGATCCTGTAAGGGCCAAGGGGAAGCTGCCCCCCGCACCCTCCCCCCACCCCATCATGGGCCACTTTGGCGTATTGATTATTTTGAATTAAAATTATTTAAGGAAACAGCGAGAGCACGAACACTCTGACCCGATTTGTGTCCAGAAAGCAGGAAATAAATTTCCACATGAAAGGTACCATCCCTGTACCAGGAAGAGATGCCCTTACCATCAGACATAGGGAATTCAGAGCCCAGAAAACTATATAAACAAACCTTGTTACGTTTACTATTTTACTACCCCAGCCCAGATGCTGTTTAAAATTCCTTACTAATTGAAGCTCCCAGACATAAGTTTTCTTTGAACATTCCTTACAGATTTATTGTCTCTTTATCTAAAAAGTATAAAAACGGCCTGTCTTGGTCATTCCTTTAGGTCTCAATTTCATTACTTGGCCTCCACGCACATGTAATTAAAGTTTGGTTTTTTTTCCTCCTCTTAATCTGTCTCAATTTAATTCTTAGACCATAGGAGGAAATTTTCCTTCCCTCTCCTACCAAACAGAAGTCTGTCATGCTGCTGCTCTATTCCTTTACTCTCCCTGCGTGGTCTGGAAATGATGGCTGAAGACATCACTGGAGACGGGCGCAACAGAAACATAGAACTGCTTCCCCATTGCAGAGACTGTCGGAGAGTCCAGCTCCCTCCTCCAATACTGCCTGGGGCGAGGTGGATAAACCTGCCTTTGGTTAAGCCACCTCTATTGAGTTTCATGCAGATGAATGCAAACCCCAAATACAGGGAGCTAGTGATGTATTTAAATGTGAGAGTTGATGTTTTTAGTTTAGAACAATTGCTCTAGCTTTGTGGGAGCTGGTCTGGACAGGGACAAGGGCAGCTGTGGGGACACAGACAGGAGGGCTGTTGGTGACTGATAATGGCAGCTGCAGGGCTAAGGTGGCCTTGTTGGAGAGACAGGTGGATCTGAGAAGTGTTGGGAGGGGAAGAGTTAACTGGAGGTGACAAGACAAAGCAGCTGAGAGGCTCTGGCTTGACTTAGTGGGCAGGATGAAGAGTCTTTAATTGTTGGCATCTCTAAAGAACACTGGGGTTAAAAATCAAGCTTTTTCAAATCTTGATTTCCTTAAAATGATGGATGAAACGACTTTTGCCCAGGTTTTCAATCATGACCATAGAGATTTGGAGCTTCAGGGATGCCTGAAATCTCTCATAAATAATTCTTGTGCATTTCCCAGGTTGGGAATGATCCTGCCACCCAAAACAAGCCTGGAGAAGCAATTTTTAAAAATGATTCATACATTGGCATATCTGGAGTCAAACATCTGAGACATCTAGGTTCTGAGAACTCAGTCACTAACTCATCCTTTCAGATGCCACTAACAGCTTCAGTAAGGGCAAAGCGGCAGAGCTCTCCTTGTTTCCTGGTCCGGTCCCTTTGTTTGCAGTCCTGGACTATGCCAGAGATCTGGCGCCATGGGCTGTGACTTTGGAAAGCCTTGTGGGCTGGGGAGAGGGTGAATGGAACTGAGAATACCCAGAATTGCGGGGTTAAGGTGGTGGAGCAAATTTCAACACTGTCCCTTATAAATATAACAGGTAATTATATTTCTTATTTTTGCCTTTTCTCCCCCTTCCACAGACATGAACACAAAGGGCTTTTGGGTTCTTCTACGAGCAAGAGACAGACAGAAAGAGAGGAAGAGGGAGAGGGAGAGGGAGAGACAGGAAGAGATTCCTATGTAAGGAGACAAGCACACCTAAAAACCCAATGGCCTCCACCAGTCGGTCCAGGTCTACACTGACAGCCTCCTTTTGTGATGCATGTGCCCAAGGTAATAAGATATCCTCATGAGGGAAAAGGCTGATGTGCAGGGTACGTACTGAGTGGGACGGCAGCCCTTTTCCAAGTCTCTGGGCCATTCCTGTTTTGTTGCATATCTGTGGGACTTGGAGTCCCTTCAGCAATTGTAAAGCTTTGGGTGGCTGGGAAGCCCATGGCGAGGAGGAATCTGGAAAAGGGACGCTGTGGGGACAGAGGAAAGTATCATCCTGGGGCAGAACCAGATTCCTTTTGGGGGGGTGGTCTTTGATAAGAACTAGTCGTTGGTGGGAGACATTAGAGGTGTGACTTGTGGGACTTTGCGTTGCCTGGGCTGGTAGGACCCTCAGTTCTGATGTCCTGGACTGGACGGTGCCAGAGTATAAGGTGCACAGCCCCAGCTGCTGCCCTGACACGGGCTGTGACCCTCGCAGACCCCAGCGGTCCTGCAGGTGCTTCTGGAGGGGACACCAGCCCCTCATCTCAGTCTCTGAAGCCTCCTTTGCCTTTATAACTGAAGCTCTGCACTGTGGACCCAGGACTTCCCTCCTCCGGTCTTCATTAACATCAAAGAATGCACATTTATTCTTTTTTTCCATTAAAAAATTATTTTTAGAATTAAAAACAAACTGGAATAATGGTGGATAAATATCAAACATAGTGAGCGAAAGAAGCCTGCAAACAAAAGCGATCATACTGTCTGTACCTGTCTTCTTATGTGAAAGGTGATCCATTTGATGTGCTTTTTTCAGAGGAATCAAAATTGTGGGATTTATTTTTTTTACGTGGAAAATGATTTTAGACCTAATCCAACATCTTGATTATATTGGTTTCCTATTGCTGTTGTAACAAATTATCACAAATTTAGTGGCTTGAAACAGCACCGAAACAAATTTATTATCTCAAGTTTTGGAGATCAGAAGAAGCCCCAAACGGATGGGTCCCCAGGTCTTACCCAGCAGCTAGAGGCTGCCTGCATTCCCTGACTCCTTCCTCTGCCTCAGAGGCAACGGCAGAGCCTTTTTCTCTCCTTCTGACTTCCTCCCTCTTATAAGGACTCTTGTCATTATATCAAGTCCACCTGGATATCAGGATAATCTCTCCATCTCAAAATCTTTAACTTAATTATATCTGCAAATTCCTTTGGCCGTATAAGGTAACATACTCATGGGTTTCAGGGATCAGGACACAGACAGCATCCAGCCTATCACATACGTTTTACAGGAGATAGAAGTGAGAGCCTGAGGAAGAGGATATTTCTTTAAAAAATCATGGGACTAGTCTGGGCTGCTGCTAACCCATTCGGGGCTTTTTTGTGAGTGGATGGATTAACTCTGCGGTGGGTGCAGGACTCACCGAGAGGGGTGTGGGGAGGAGTGGCCTCCACTCGCTGCCTCAGCTGATGCCCATGAGCCGGGCACCCCCGCTCCTGCCCCTCCCCTGGAGCTGGGGAGTTTCTCTACTGGAAATAGCATGCAGGTCTTGGGGTTTCCTACCCTCATTTCCCCAGGCTCAGCCCTGCTCTCCACCCTTTCACAGCTGTGACTGTCTGAGTCCAGGAATTATTTCAGGGAAGCTGGTGGAAGGAATTCAGGACATGTACGACCTCTACTCCCAGAGTGATCAGGCCATACCGCCTTTCAACCCTGCCTGTGAGGACCTTCCATTCAGCTCATATATGCCAGGCTTCTTCCTTGATCAATAATAGTTCAATAATCCTCTTGCTGCTCCATCTCGTCAGTGTCCATCAACCCCTGCCTGCATCAGAGCTCCCCTCTTTTACACGAGGGCTGCTGGCATCTTTCTTTACAGCACTAAGACTTCTGGCCACACTCAAAAGAGCAAGTTATTTTGGTCCTGAGTTTTAGAAATCCTCTGTGGCTATATTACCTTTTTACATTACAATTATTACATTACAAAATATGATTACAAAATATTACATTATTACAAAGGGGCATTAATTAGCCCTGACTGGAATGGGAATTCTCCTAACTAGCACAGTCTAGTAGAACTTTCTGTGAACTATTCTAATCTGTGCTGTCCAGTACCTTAGCCACTAGCTGTAGGTGGCTACAGAGCACTTGAAATGTGGCTGGTGCAATTGCAGGCTTGCATTTTTAATTTAATTTAATTTAATTAATTTAAATTTAAATAGCCACATGTGGCTAGTGGCTACTGTATTTATTGGACAACACAGACCTAGGCTCTTTTCCTGAAATAAAGGAAAATAAGTGTAGGGTGTAGGAGAGGGTATTCCTGATCGTGAATACATGTAGGGGAACAAAGGAGGGTGTTTTCTGTCTAAATTTAACATTTTACTTTGATTCAACTGAAGAATGTTCACTTAGCCTAAAGTAGTATTTAGGTTTAAGCTTATGCATTGTAAACAAGAGAGACAAGGTACATTTTTTTCCCTGCATAGTTAAAAGTACAAAATACCTTCACTTTCTTGAGTGAGCACCGTTTCTAAAATGCACTTGGATGGACACTGAATATTGAAACCTTGTTTGACACTATATAAACAGATGGTAGACAAGTGAAATATATATTCTTCAACTTATCAGCGTTCTAAGAATATGTCGCAGCATTCCTAGGATGAAGAAAAATGTATGCATTTGCTTTTAAACTCAAAGTTCTTCTGGTTGTTCTCCACTGAGGGGCCTGAGAGGTGTAAAGGTCATCAGGCTGCCTCCCAAGGAAATGGGTTGATGTGCTCGTGATGGCTCTCGCCAAGGGGATGCAGGACTGCGGCCTGGGCCCAGGGACTCCAGAAGGCTGAAGAGAAATCCCTCCCCACTGGGATAAGGAGAGAAGAAAATCTGGGAGGGTTTAAAAGTTGTCTTCCATCAAGCTGGGGAGCCTGATTTTCTCCTGTTTCTACCAGAGGACAAATAAGTTGCTGTCAGATTGTTTAATGTATTCAGGGGGAAATCTTTAGAAGTGTGTATTTTAAGATTTTATTCCTTCTTTTGTGTTCAGTTTTTTGCTTCCTTAGGACTCATTTTCTCTTCTATTTTTCTTTTCCACTTGAATAGAGGTGAGTTTATCCATACCTGCTATTTAGTGAAAACAGATTATGCCCAGAACATCTTTTGATTCTGTCCCTTTGCAGTTAGTAAGGCTGCAGTGGCGTTCTTTCTCTTGCGACTGTTGGGTCCAGTGTCCTAAGTACCCCAGAAACACTACATTTATGATGGCATTTTATATATTATGTGTTCAAAATTGTACCCAGGATGGGTTTTATTTTAAGGATCTGATATGGTACAGAGGCCTTATGCTTGAAGAAAGAGAAAATATAGCACTGGGAGAATGTTTGAGTTAGAATGTAAATCTAAGGTATTTATCCACAAGAAGTCCTTAGTTTCTGTAACAGAAAGCGACATGTGAAGTAAAGAGGTAGAGAGAGTGCTGTGGCCAAAATAAGATGACTCTGTTGAGAGAATGGGCGACTGATCTCTGGAGCAGGCTAGGATTGAGGAAGGGGGCCTAGGATGAGTTGCAGAATATGGGAAGAAAGGGAGGAACAACCCCCCTAAGTTTTTGCAGTAGAGAGTGTAGAATCATACACACAGGGTGTTAGCAAGGCAGGATGACCTTCACCCAGTGGCACTCGGTAGGCGATGAACCAGGGTCAAGCTGTAGGAAGCAGTGGAAGAGTTAGGGAAGGAACAGGGAGTGGCATCAAGAAAGAAGAAAGGCAAAATGATAGGGATAAATATTAGTGTGGAGGATGCCTAGTGCCATTTCTGCTGCATCTACTGTGAAAACCAGAGGGCACTCAAAGGACGGTGCGAGAAAGGAAGCAGTCCTAGCGGCATTGGTACAGGACATGAGGGGTTGCTGACAGTGGGATGCTTTCTCTGACATTTGTAGAACAGAAAAGATAAGTGGCTGCCTACGAGAGATTACTGCGGCGGGAATCCCCGTTGTAAATGCATCCTGAGACACATTTCTGTAGTCCTGCACACCCACACGAAAAAGGCTTTGTAAGTTACAGATAAGTAAGAGGATATGATGTGTTCATGAGGGAATATTAAGAAAGAGGGCACTGAAAACTGGAATACTTTGGTGAATTTTTCAGGAAATCCTTCATTTTTGCTGTTCACACGGATCTAATATGTATTAATGAGACGCTTCTACTGAGCCAAAGCCTATGGACAAAGAGATGAATGAGCCAGTGCCTGCTTTAGCAAGAGAGGAACCATATGAACATAGTTATGCTCCCATGAGGTATATGCGTGGATAAAGAATGGTGGGAGTGGTTTAACCTCTACTCCCAGAGTGATCAGGCCATACCGCCTTTCAACCCTGCCTGTGAGGACCTTCCATTCAGCTCATATATGCCAGGCTTCTTCCTTGATCAATAATAGTTCAATAATCCTCTTGCTGCTCCATCTCGTCAGTGTCCATCAACCCCTGCCTGCATCAGAGCTCCCCTCTTTTACACGAGGGCTGCTGGCATCTTTCTTTACAGCACTAAGACTTCTGGCCACACTCAAAAGAGCAAGTTATTTTGGTCCTGAGTTTTAGAAATCCTCTGTGGCTATATTACCTTTTTACATTACAATTATTACATTACAAAATATGATTACAAAATATTACATTATTACAAAGGGGCATTAATTAGCCCTGACTGGAATGGGAATTCTCCTAACTAGCACAGTCTAGTAGAACTTTCTGTGAACTATTCTAATCTGTGCTGTCCAGTACCTTAGCCACTAGCTGTAGGTGGCTACAGAGCACTTGAAATGTGGCTGGTGCAATTGCAGGCTTGCATTTTTAATTTAATTTAATTTAATTAATTTAAATTTAAATAGCCACATGTGGCTAGTGGCTACTGTATTTATTGGACAACACAGACCTAGGCTCTTTTCCTGAAATAAAGGAAAATAAGTGTAGGGTGTAGGAGAGGGTATTCCTGATCGTGAATACATGTAGGGGAACAAAGGAGGGTGTTTTCTGTCTAAATTTAACATTTTACTTTGATTCAACTGAAGAATGTTCACTTAGCCT